TAAATTACAGCCACAGGAACTGTGACTGCCTTGGCGACGTCAAATTGACACTAGTATCTCTTCATCCTGTCAAAACTCCTGACAACCCTTACGAAGCTGTCTCATGGAGCAAAGACCGGTTTTTAAGCGTGTCCTCCTAGAACAATAACACGTCAGCATAAGGCTGAGGCGCCATGGTGAATGACTACAGTTTAGTGGACTACAGAAGCTCTATGTGATTCTCAACACGCCACGACCTATCAGTCGCGACCCGGACCATTTACGCTACGCGAGAGATGGAGTTCATCAATGGCATCAGCCTGCGGGACGGAACATGCACTGGGACTGTATTTTGAGGAATAAAACGGCGTGTCAGTCTTGGAAGCTGCCAGAAATACAAAGACGATTGTGAATCTGCCTGACACTCCTTATCCAAGTCAGTTTTGGCAAGCATGTTTTCGGCAAATCTTCATCAGACCAGTAACTTTTCAAAATAATTAAAATTTAAACGTGTGGAAAAATGAATAATTGTCTGACGTGGGCGCCGATTGGCCATTGCAGACTATGTCAGTCTGTGCAAGTAGGCGATATCGGCGTGTTGTGTTAGGTGTTGTGTTGTCGGAAAACGGTAACACAAGTCTTTTCCCTTCCATGGCCGACGCTGACGCCGGAAGACGATAGCACATCGCCCCCACCCACTAGTGACAGTCGCTCGCTACATACAAATGACGGTGATCACTCTATGCACATGACCCCTCACCAATGCCCACAACCTAACCCAACACGCCGATCTCGCCTACTTGCGCAGACTGACATTGTCCGCAGTGGCCAATCGGCGCCCACGTCAGACAATTACTGATTTTTCTACGCGTTTAAACTGTTTAATTGTTTTGCAAAGTTGCTGGCCTGATGAAGATTTGCCGAAAGCATGTTTACCAAAACTGACTGTTCAAATAAAACATGGGAATATTTACAGAACTTCTTAGTCAGCGAAGGCGATAGTCAAGTACAATCAAGACATGATGGAAACCACCAGTAGTTCCCAGGCACTGTGACCATCATCACGCTAGGTTGTGTGTGTCGTAGCACTTGTTGGATCAAGAGTCCCCACCGGAGCCCAAACCGGTTGTAGTTGGAAGACGGACGCTAGGCTGTCTACTCTGCTGGTCGACGCGCCATCCGCAAGACCCGAAAAATATCTTCTTAAGCAGAAACCATTTTTGGTTGCAAGCCAGGAGAGGTAAAACTGCCGGAGGAGAAATTTGGTTAAGTGGCTTTTATTCAATGCATGAATGAGGACCAAATCGAAGACAGCGTACTTATCGACTGTTAAACTTGTATATATCGCGATCAGATAGAAGTTGAAAGATATTGCCCAATGACATATAGGAGGCAAATGGTAACCTTTGGCAGGCGCATGGCCACTGTGAGTCGTAAATTCGGAGCTCTCTTTTCGGCCAACCAATCAGTAAACCTGTATCAGTTAACGTTAGTAACCGATCTCATAAAATGTTGAACGAACTTCTGAAAAGCATTTTCAGTTGGAAAAGAGTATTCCAGTGGGTTTGTTAGTGTGGAATAGGTCTGTGGTATTTCATACACGCCAGGACGTTGATCTATACGGCCACCTGTCAAAACCACACTCTAAATAAATGGCTAGTTAATTAGTAGGCCTGTTTTCAACGCCCCTATAAATTCAAACATATTTCACGAAAATATGCCCAAAATATGCTTGCTTGTACTCCTCTGACAACTAATCACTTCTTTTAAAAATCTTACACTCAAAAGATATTAGGGGGGTTTAGCAGATTTGCTTAATTTAACTGACCCAATTTTGAGAAATTCGCGGCCTCGGAGGGAGTCGAACCCACACAGCAGGGAAGGCTTTTGCGCAGTCTTCGCTCTACCGCTGAGCTACAAGGGTCACCGCGAGCCGTTAATTTAATCACACTTGGGTCGATTTTAATCCGCCCAAGTTACCGCTCGTATAGAATCCACCATTACGGGACAGCAAGCTGACTGCCCAGGCGGGTTAAAATACACCCATGTGTGATTAACTTAACGATCACGGTGAGTCTCGTAGCTCAATGGTAGGGCATTGGCTGCACAAAAGCCTTCTCTGCTGTGTGGATTCGACTCCCACCGACACCGAAAATTTTTCACAATTGGATCAACTGGACTCAAAAGCTGGGTAAATTTAGATTGTAAAAGTTTTTAAATTTTCGAATGATTTGGATATCGATCTACTGTCGTATTTGCGTTTACAGTTTCCATTTCAAAATGAACGGGTTCGAAAAAGGCGCTCGACTTGTGTGTAGGCCTCTATATTACACAATTTTAAGGTGAAGTATCAATTGCGAAAAAGGAAACACGGTCGCTGGGACAAGAACTTTATTAGTCTGACTTTTCGGGCTTTCGTTCAAATTCCTCATCAAAGACAGTCAGGTAAGGGTATTGGATGGCCCGGCTGTTACAGTATTCGTAGGACATAGTTACTAGGCCACTACATACTTGTCAAAATTGGTCGCTCCCAAAGGAATCATGAAAAATGGTTCGAAGGGCCAGATCTTGCAGTATGCAGTTGTCATGCCGTTGCTATGCGCCAGCGCGCCCGTCAGAAGTATCGGCTCCCACGCTCATCACATGTGGTGCGACGATTGCCTGCGGTAGGGTTGCTAA